TATGTGTAAACAGGACTTTGTGGTACAATGCAGATTTTTAAAAAATTTCTATTTGAAAAATTAGTCACGTTATATGGGGTTCTGTTCTTGAGGCTTGACAAGTAAGGTAGTCTGGCTGTATGTGAGTGACTCGGGTATGGTTATGTCGGGGAGGGGGGGGGGAGGGAGTCTTGGCTTCGAGTTCCTTCAATGGAGGTGTAAATACTGACATACTGTGGGGTCAGAAGTAAATAATTGTACTGAGATCTGCCATAAATTTATATTGGGGGGGGGGGGTCTATCCCCCAATTGGCGAGTAGGGTCCAGTATACGCATCAAAGCCTCATGAGTATGTAAGTTGATTTTGCTTACGACGTCTGAATACACTGTCAAAATGCGAGTTTAGCCTATGAGTAGCTTACGATGTTTTTCTTCCGATATAGACTATAACAATGTTCTCAAAGTCTTTCTTGTTTCTCCCTATATGTATTATATGCAGTGTTTCTTCCAGACATTTTTCTCCGGGGGGGGCACTTGAAATCTTCGGGGGGGCGGTAAACTTTCTTCGGGGGGGGCGGACACTGTTAAAAGTATATATTTTCTATATAAATTATATAAATTTCATTTCGTTCGGGGGGGGCGGTAAAAAATTTTCGGGGGGGCTTCGCCCCCCCGAAGAGATGCCTGGAAGAAACTCTGATTATATGTATTATGTATCAGCTGTTACTCCAGTCGGTACTTCCTCAATACACGCCAGGTACCCACGAACCTGAGCTAAAAATCACGAGCTAGAAACTGTAGTTCTCGGGAGTGCACTACTTCTCGACCACCGTGTTCCTTATAGCACTTTGAAAGACGACGGTAAGGCAGTAAAATATCACAATATTATCAGCATTCATATGAAGGTTATGTCCCTTTCAGGGTCAGGGTTGTGATTCTGTTACTAATACCGGCCTATTTTCAATAGCCTTATATTAGTTGTTTTTACACAATCCCCCTCCTCCACATATGCGAGATCGCTAAGCCTCGTTTTCTATACACAAGGCCAAAAGGTGAGTACTACAGCTAGAATAAACTCACGCAACATTTTGTTACAGCGCCTGGTACCAATCAATACAATACGCCCCCCCCCCCCCCCCCTCCACATACACACCCCTACAAGCTCCCCTAACCTACATTACTGAAGAAACGTTAGAAAAAAAATGCCCCACCTTCCCGGCCCTCCCAGCAATGCTAGATACTTCAAACAAACGTCGCTTGACCCCATTCATTCCTGTATACCTGTAGACTAAATGCTTCCAACTCACAGACATGAATTCTCAAAACAGCCCTCACCCCCCCCCTCTCCTGCTCTCGTCGACATGAATTCTCAAAACAGCCCCCCCCCCCACCCTTGCTCTCACAGACGTACGTCCTATTATTATAAATAGACGATATTTGTAAAAATCGAACACGGGAGGATAACTCGTGCACGTGAGAAAAATAGAAACTCGCTGGGTAGCAGGAGTTAGCTTCCCTTGCCAAGCATAACTTCGGCTAAATTAATTATCACATTTCAAGGGAGTTAAATTGTGCTGTAAACATGGGGAGAAACTGTGAATACGATCAATGGAACACAAGTTTTACCTTCATAGCTGTAACATCACTTCTTTAACATCACTAACATCACTACTTTAACATCACTACTTTAACATCACTACTGGAACATCAAAAAAGTTACAATTTGTTTTGAAGTAGCTTTTACAACATACAGTACGAAATATATATTTACATTCTTATTTGACGTTTTAAGTATAAAAACGACTACACGTATATGTCTTTTTGTTGGATGTCGATATAAAGGAAAGGATGCACACATTGGCTGACCGCCATAGTGGATGTCGCTGACTTGTGACGTCAGATCACAACTCTTTGTCCAGTTTTAGAATCGTTATTGCTGCGGCATTAGCACAAAATGGCTGCACCCGTACAGTACTAAACCCTACATCTGGCGGTGGAATATTTTATTTTATAATATGCCAACATTTTTTTCCCACTTGGTGAGATATGTTTTCGACATTATACTTGAAGTTGCTTTTTTATCCAAGTATTTCTGTTTTGTTTATTCTAATATGATTACAATATCGAACTGAGGGGGGGGGAGGTAGGCGAGGGGTGGGTTAAAAAAAATTGAACTTTATTTTTGGACGAGACTTACACAGCGTTAAAAATCGTCATGTTTTTATAGTTACTTTGGCTTAAAACAAACTCACGTAATAAACTTGCTGAAAACTCCTACCTAATCGCAGCTCCGATGTAGAGTTTAAATTGAGAGCCTACGCTATAGGGAGTTGGGAGGCGTTCAAACAGTTTACCTTTTCATAGCAAAACGTTATGCTGTTGTGCTAATATTTGAGCCCGCGGTGCACTCCAGGACTTGCGCTGGCCTACTGCGGTTTTGTGTGTGAAGCCCGACACAGGGGTGGTGGTGTTTAATATGTGGGGAGATGTTGTAGGCTTAGCTTTTTATTCTATGGTGGGTTTTTTAAGGGGAAATGTAATCGTAGCATCGTGATTTTGGGGGTGCTGTAAATTTTTATGGAGGGGAAGAATATTTGCGTGTTTTAAATCTTATTTTATTGCATGAACTTCCTAAAGTATGACGTCCAAGAAACATCTAATGGACACCAGCGAGAAAAGTCTCAAAGGTATTTGAGAGGTGTATAAATTCATTTAAAAATCTTGCACGGCGTAGTTACAATTAATATGGTTATAAAATCCTGTCTGTCTGGTTTTTTTCGGACTTTACTACAGATTGGATGTATTTGATGTTTTTAATATTTTCGGTAACTAAATAAAAATTAAAAAAAAAGAAAAAACAATTTGGTTTTCACGTGTAATGGCGACATAAACAATGGCCGACATAAATTTTATTGTACACATTGTAAGCTAAAAATAGAAACAATAGGTCATGGTGTTTAAATTTGCATAGTTATTTAAAAATTTGATCTGCAAAGTTTTGTAAACAAAATAACTATAAAGTGGGGCTGTCAGAAATCGATCACGGAGTTCCTTTACAGCCAATCAATGTTTGTCTTACGAAAGTGAAACATCGGGTTATAACTTAGGCTTGATGAAAATAAATAGAAACGTAGCCTTAAACTCAACAAATTATTTTCAAGTTCTCTGGATCTGCAACTTGTATAGCATTGATTCTAAAAATATTACATTTCTGAATTAATTTTAGGCTTAAGTTTTTAAGAAAATTTTATCTTTTATTAGTTTTATGGTCCTAAATCTAAAAAAGCACATTTTTATTCCATGTCAACAATATTACGGAAGGAATCTCGTCAACTCGCTGGTGTCCATTGACGTCCAGTGAAGTACAGCCAATAGCTAGTCTAAAGGATGGATTTTTGTGTCCAGGGAATTACGAGGGACGAACATTGAATAGCCAGTGACGTCCAGTGGAAGGTCAGTGACGTCCAGTTGAAGACCTGTGACGTCCAGCGAACATATCGTAATAGAGAATGCACTTTGGATGACACAACACGGAAGGACCTCGAGTGAAAAGAGCGTCAACACACGAGACGTGTACCAACAACAAACAGACCGACTTCTCTTAAAATACAAAGAGAAACGAAGATTCCTTGCAGCTGCCTTGTGCTAGCTGTGTATTTCTAAACCACAGGGCAAGATACGGGGTTAAATTGGATATCCGTTTCAGCGTTCTATTTACATATTTTAAAATATATCGCCTTCTCGATATCCAATGCCCTACTATTCATTCCCTCCCTTTCACTGCCCTGCTCGCCGTTGTCATTCTACCCGCTGCCATACGCTGCCCTGGTATTCTCTGCCCGCACGTAATACAAAAACCCAACCCCATGAACATTAAGTAAAATTTGTTTATCCACTATAAATAGAGAGAGAGAGAAAAAATTGAATGGTACATTCCACTGGGGACTGGCATGTTAGCATTTCCAGTTGTAAACAAAAGCGCTCGATAGACGGGGACGTCGACAAGTCGGGGCCGCGTTCATTAATCGCCCGCCCATTACTGTCGTTTAGCTGACAAACGTGTTTGGGTTAGGACGGATCGCTTAAGGTCAACAGTATCTTAATGCAGCTGTCAAGTTTTTTACCTCGTCAAGGTATTCGGGAAATAAGTAAGAGATATGTTAGATGGACAGTGTGTGAAAACACCGAGTGAGAGGAAGTGCTAGGGGTACACAATGGTGGAAAGTGCTAGCTATTGTCGCCACTGTTTAGATTCAACATTCCCTTTAACTAGAAAAAAAAACGTGTGTGAAAATATATTTTCTCTAAAGGCGCACTGAAACCGTGCGTATACAGTTAGGTATAACGTATGACATGTTCACCCGAGTCTCTAGTTCGGATCCCGAGTTCGTACGACGTCCCTGTGTCTTCCCAGTTCTGATGGGTACCGGACTCACGTTAGGAAAGTAAAGGCGGCTGGGCATAGTGCTGACCACAGTATCTAATATATGGGGTCTCTGAAACAGGCGAACTCTTTTCCACCTGCCCCATGGACCTTAGTTTTCGAAAGGATTTTTTTTTACTTTAGGGCGTTTTAAGAAGATGCCGATGACTAGAGGATAATTGTTGAAATCTTTTAGAGATGTGCTACAAAAACTGATATTTAGAACACAGACCGATCGAAGACATACTGCGACCAATGAGACTGATCGATCACGTGTTAGATCTGTACAGATGAGCAGCATTGATTCTTTAATGAGATTTGGTTTAATCGAGAAATTGTGAAGATGGATATTAAATAGCTGCATTTTATTTACTGCTTCGTTTTACAACAAAGGCAAAAAAAAAAAATGTGTGAGGATTATTAAGCTCTATAGCATATACAACCAGACTTATTAACCCGGTAGTCACTTGACATTTAATAAAGTTTGAAATGTTTTTACTTTAAGCACGCATTTGCTGCATTTACTTCTCTACGAAGCTCTTAGTATAATTTATAATATTACAAATATTCACGTAGAAAACATTCTTTAAATTGAAATTTTCGTAAAGAAATTCTATGCACACAAAGTTTCAATGTTTTTATTGTTATTAAATCAGGCGTTCATGTCATCCTTGTACACTGGTATTGCACACTTGTGATACAAATAAAATAATAGTGGAAGCTCATTCATCGAGTTTACCATCTAGAAAGCTGGTTAACATTCATCATTCATATTTTATATATATATACATCTACGTATGTACAGTTGTAAATCCACATGTATCCCTCACATACATTCGTCAGATGATGATCCAGTACAAACCTCATTAGAATTAAATAAATGTCATAGTTGGAATCAGGACTCTATCAAACTTTGATCATCAGGTGAGTGCGCATGACAGCAGCTTTTATGCACGAGTATCCGGACATCGCTCATAACGCCGCCATTTTGGGTCAGAGTTTTCTTAGTGTCTCTGACCTCGACCTTCCTGAGGGGCCCTTGTGGCGCCACCAACTTTGCTCCCCCTCCGTAGATCAAAATATTGTTCGTGTACGTCGCCTTCGGTGGGGCGTTGAATTTATCTTTGGTTTTGTTAGCGTTTAAATTTGCGTTTTCACAATTTTTGAAAATAGTTTTGCGGTTTTTGTGCTGTAAAAACTGAAGAGTGGCGCAGTCTTGGGTGACGGCCGGGTTACGCAACGTCCTCGCGCCCGTGGACTTGGGGGTCAGAGTTCGAAACTGCTGCCTGCGCGGCATGCGGCACCCGCAGCGGAGCATGTCCCAGAAAAAGCGGCCGTACCGCTGTTTAATCCGGCCGTTGTTCTGGGCGTACATGTAAGGGTCAAGGGCGCTGTTGAGAAAGACGAGAGCGATGCCGCAGAGCTTGACCTGGTAGAGGATGATGGACTCGCCGGTCAGCAGCTCGATGACGTGGGATATGACGAGCGGGGTCCAGCACAGCGCGATGATGAGGATGACCACGAAGCACATGGTCACCGCCTTGTTTTCCTTGTCCAGCGCCGCCATACAGCTGCAGCAGGAGCAGTGCTTCAGCGGCTCCGGCTTCTTGGGAGCCGGACTGGCAGCTGGGATTTCTATGAGAACCTGCTGCATGTCGGGAGCCGTGGCGGATTTGTCGCTTATCACAGACGTCTGGATGGGCTTGTACTGGGGCGTCCGGGCTATAGGGGGGCGCAGCAGGGGCTGCAGCGCCTTGACGCGAAGATACGTCTGCACCCTGACCGCCCGGGCGATGACACCGTAGGAGACAACGATGACGATGAAGCTGATGAAAATGATCGGGCTGATGAAGAAGAGAATGACGTTGTTCCTGGTGATGTCGCTGCTGTTCATGATGGCCTGGCACGTGGTGTACGAGTTCGTCCAGGACAAGGTCACGTGCAGCGTCCCGCCCACCGCCGTTCCTATGGCTACCAGGTAAATCGCGCCCAAAATAACCGCGGTCTTGGCGGTGCTTAGCGAACTTTTCACCCGACCTCTGACCCTAGACTGTCTGTGGGCCGCGATGGCCACTAGGGTGAGCAATGACAAAAGTCCGCAGGTTGTCGAAGAAAACAGAAAACCGCCACAGAACTCGCGCGGCGAAGGCGGATCCGAGAACAGCAGGTACAAAAACGTGGGCGACAAGCACAGGCAAATGATGAAATCCGCCCCTGCTAAGTTAAATACGAGCACATCAAAGTTTGAGCGCAGTTTCCGGCACTGCGGCACTGCAGTGCTGAGAGCAGGACCATCCCGTTGCCGAAGGTGCCGAGGATGACCACAAAGATGACCAGGACGGTGCAGACGGCGAGCGTGGCGGTGTGCACTGAGCCGTGGAAGGAGGGGTCCCACTCGGGCGGGGCTAGGACTGGTGGCGACGCCATGCTGTGGTTGTGCCACCCCGGGGATGTGTAGTGTCGTCTGACGCTAATCATTGGCATGCTGGGGGTGATATCTCACCAGTACACCATCGCACGTTCTACCCTCTCCAAGCAGAACACGTCAGATTAATTTTAAAACACATTTTCATAACGTCTTTTATCCCATGGTCAGGAATTAAAACAGAAAAAAATCCAAGTCTCCCTCCTAATCTCTCGCAGCTAATCACTGTAATGCAAGTAAAAAAAAAATTGACATTTAATATTTTTTTCCTTTTTATCTCCAACTGCCGAAATCCTGGCATAAAAACGATTTGCGTTCAAGGGAGATGAAGACGAGACTTGGCCGAATGAAATGAACAAGATTCGTTACTCATCAGACGAGTCCAAGACTGGCAGCCGACTTTGTTGTTGCATCCCGCCAAAATCATTCGTACACACCTGACCGGGTCCTAATTCCCCAATATCCGTTTTCACAAATCCCTCAGACTTAGAGCACTTCCGTTTCGGGGAAATTTTCAGCTTAGTTTTTTTTTAACGGCAAAGGTAATATGTTTTGTATGTATTTTTTTAAACGAGGTCTTCGGGTATGAAGGGGTTAACTCTGGTAGCAGAACTTGACAGGGCGGATAAACCACGTTCATTTAAAGACCAGGACGACGAGATCAAAGATGGTTACCAGGGTCACTGTGGCAGGTGAAAGATGGTTGCTAGGGTCACTGTGGCAGGTAAAAGATGGTTGCTAGGGTCACTGTGGCGGGTGAAAGATGGTTGCTAGGGTCACTGTAGCAGGTGAAAGATGGTTGCTAGGGTCACTGTGGCAGGTGAAAGATGGTTGCTAGGGTCACTGTGGCAGGTGAAAGATGGTTGCTAGTGTCACTGTGGCAGGCGAAAGATGGTTGCTAGGGTCACTGTGGCGGGTGGATTCGACTCCTATGATGCTGAGGTCAATGGGGAGACTGGATTCGATTACTCAGTGAAGGATTTAATTCCTAACATAACAGAGACGTGGATGTTGGGAGATCATGGCTAATTTATGCAGAACAATTCCGTGGGTCAGTTCATGTGGGACAGGTCACGTGGGTCAGTTCACGTGGGTCAGCTCACGTGGGTCAGCTCATTGTGTTTGAGAACAGTTGCCCAGGACAACGACCAGTGCTTGCCTTGAATGTCAGCCTGAATATTTTGCCCCTGATTTTGTTCATTTGTGAATCATGCAAACGGTGCCAGAAACTGGGTTCGAACACCTGCCAGAAAATAAAAAACAATTCATTAACTGGATGATTGTGTAAAACAAAACTAAACTATTTTAGAAATTTGATGATTGTGTAAAACAAAAATAAACTAATGTAGAAATTTGATGATTGTGTAAAAAAAATGTATAAATCAGATGTTTGTGTTAAATAAACTATCGTAGAACTTAATGATTGTTTAAAACAAATAATGTAGTGATTGTATGATTGTGTATAACAAATAAACTAACGTCGAAATCGGATGGTTGTGTAAAACAAACAAATTAATGTAGAATATATGATTGTGTAAAACAAATAAACTAATGTAGAAATCTGATGATAGTTTAAAACAAAACAAAAATGTGTAAATTAGATGATTATGTTAAACAAATAATGTAGAAATTGTATGATTTTTAAAAACTAATTAATTCATGTAATAATTAGATTTTTGTGAAAATAAATAAACTAATGTAGAGATTGTATGATTGTGTAAAACAAATAAATTAGAATGACTGTATAAAACGAATGACTAAAAAAGCTATAGGATAGATAATTGGGTAATAGTTGCAATTGATCTTTGATTTTAAAAAAAACACTACAGAATTAAGGCCAATGTTGGAGTTTAAGTAAAATTGAGTTTAAGATAATAAAACTATGAACGGGAAAATGTGTAGAGATCTTAACTAGGAGTAAAGGCAACACGTTCATGTAAGATCTTTGCTAGCAGTAGATGCAACACCTTCATGTAAGATCTTAGCTAGAGGCAACACGTTCATGTAAGATCTTAGCTAGAGGCAACACCTTCATGTAAGATCTTATCTAGAGACAACACGTTCATGTAATATCTTAGCTAGAGGCAACACGATCATGTAAGATCTTAGCTAGAGGCAACACGTTCATGTAAGATCTTAGCTAGGTGTAGAGGCAACACGTTCATGTAAGATCTTAGCTAGAGACAACACGTTCATATAAGATCTTAGCTAGAGGCAACACGTTCATGTAAGATCTTTGCTAGAGGCAACACGATCATGTAAGATCTTAGCTAGGAGTAGAGGCAAAACGTTCATGTAAGATCTTAGCTAGAGGCAACACGATCATGTAAGATCTTAGCTAGGAGTAGAGGCAAAACGTTCATGTAAGCTCTTAGCTATGAGTAGAGGCAACACGTTCATGTAAGATCTTAGCTAGAGGCAACACGTTCATGTAAGATCTTAGCTAGAGGTAACACGTTCATGTAAGATCTTAGCTAGGAGAAGAGGCAAGACGTTTATTTAAGATCTTAGCTAGGAGTAGAGGCAACACGATCATATAAGATCTTAGCTGGGAGTAGAGGCAACACGATCATGTAAGATCTTAGCTAGGAGTAGAGACAACACGTTCATGTAAGATCTTAGCTAGCGTCAACACGTTCATGTAAGATCTTAGCTAGAGGCAGCACGTTCATGTAAGATCTTAGCTAGAGGTAACACGTTCATGTAAGATCTTAGCTAGGAGTAGAGGCAACACGATCATGTAAGATCTTAGCTGGGAGTAGAGGCAACAAGTTTATGTAAGATCTTAGCTAGAGGCAAAACGTTCATGTAAGATCTTAGCTAGGAGTAGAGGCAACACGATCATGTAAGATCTTAGCTAGGAGTAGAGGCAACACGTTCATGTAAGATCTTAGCTAGGAGTAGAGGCAACACGATCATGTAAGATCTTAGCTGGGAGTAGAGGCAACACGATCATGTAAGATCTTAGCTGGGAGTAGAGGCAACACGATCATGTAAGATCTTAGCTAGGAGTAGAGACAACACGTTCATGTAAGATCTTAGCAAGAGGCAACACGTTCATGTAAGATCTTAGCTAGGAGTAGAGGCAACACGTTCATGTAAGATCTTAGCTGGGAGTAGAGGCAACACGATCATGTAAGATCTTAGCTAGAAGCAACACGTTCATGTAAGATCTTAGCTAGGAGTAGAGGCAACACGATCATGTAAGATCTTAGCTAGGAGTAGAGGCAACACGTTCATGTAAGATCTTAGCTAGAGGCAACACGTTCATGTAAGATCTTAGGAGTAGAGGCAACACGATCATGTCAGATCTTAGCTAGGAGTAGAGACAACACGTTCATGTAAGATCTTAGCAAGAGGCAACACGATCATGTAAGATCTTAGCTAGGAGTAGAGGCAACACGTTCATGTAAGATCTTAGCTCGGAGTAGAGACAACACGTTCATGTAAGATCTTATCTAGGAGTAGAGGCAACACGATCATGTAAGATCTTAGCTAGAGGCAACACGATCATGTAAGATCTTAGCTAGGAGTAGAGACAACACGTTCATGTAAGATCTTAGCTAGAGGCAACACGATCATGTAAGATCTTAGCTAGAGGCAACACGTTCATGTAAGATCTTAGCTAGGAGTAGAGGCAACACGATCATGTAAGATCTTAGCTAGGTGTAGAGGCAACAAGTTTATGTAAGATCTTATCTAGAGGCAACACGTTCATGTAAGATCTTAGCTAGGAGTAGAGGCAACACGATCATGTAAGATCTTAGCTAGGTGTAGAGGCAACAAGTTTATGTAAGATCTTATCTAGAGGCAACACGTTCATGTAAGATCTTATCTAGAGGCAACACGTTCATGTAAGATCTTAGCTAGGAGTAGAGGCAACACGATCATGTAAGATCTTAGCTAGGTGTAGAGGCAACAAGTTTATGTAAGATCTTATCTAGAGGCAACACGTTCATGTAAGATCTTAGCTAGGAGTAGAGGCAATATCAGTCAACACGATCATGTAAGATTTGAAAAGGTCAGGAAGAAAGGAAAATGTCTGCCATTGGATATGTGCATGTACTTATGTTGCTAGCTGTGTGTTTGTGAGTGGAGTGCTCTGTTGTGTGTGGGATTGTGTGGCGCGTTCCGTTGTGTGTGGGATGCTCTGTTGTGTGTGTGGTATTGTGTTGAGTGCTCTGTTGTGTGTGGTATTGCGTGGAGTGCTCTGTTGTGTGTGGTATTGCGTGGAGTGCTCTGTTGTGTGTGGGGTGCTCTGTTGTGAGTGGGATTGTGTTGAGTGCTCTGTTGTGTGTGGTATTGCGTGGAGTGCTCTGTTGTGAGTGGGATGTATGTGGCGCGATACGTTGTGTGTGGGATGTTCTGTTGTGTTCTATTGTGTTCAGTTGAGTGGGTTAATCTAACGTGTGGGTTGTTCTGTTGTGTGTGTACCGTTATGCTGTATGCGCGTGTTATTCTGTCATGTGTGTGTGTGTTTATGTGGGTGCTGTGTGAGAGCAAAAAGGTAAATGACAAGAAATCAGACTGCAGCAACTATTATGAAGCAATGTGTCTATTTTATCTTGGAAGAATATTTCTGAGATTATGTTTGCAGAAGTTAGGATTGACGTTGTATTAAGCTTGATTCAAACTTTACAAAAATTAGTCCGTATTAAAAGCATTAGAGAGCCAACACCTACATCAGAACAAACAATCAAAGCTACCTGGCAGGTAGACAACTGTTAACCTAGGCATCATTAGTTATTTAAATTTTTGATGTATATTTGTAAAGCTTTAAACCGATCTATGATAGATCTATCATTCAACCGAATTACACTCAAAGATAGCATACGCCCATACGAGTACGGATTCAAATGAGAGTGACATTTTACAGTTAGCTTGATTAAATAAAAATCAACAGCCAACTCAACCTAATAATATGTTTAGTATTTTTTTTAAACAGCACCGGTTAACTGAATTAAATGCCAACATGAATGAAAAACCCCGATAGCCCATATTTAATTAAGTTTAAAAAACCAACAACTCTAGTTTAAAAACCATTCAAAAAAGTTTGGTTTGGTTCTTCTCTCCCTCGTCCGATGACGTCGCCACAAGAGCAGGGA